GTAGATTATATGGATTTGTTTGGAAAGGTAAACGTCAGGAGATAGGAATCCAGCGGGTCGTGCATTAATGGAAGTGCTCATCGACGGGCACAAATTGAAGGTGCATCCCGACACTGGTGCACCATGTGCCATAAGCAGTGAGATAACAATACTTTCTATTTATAAATACACGGCTTAGAATCAATTGCCTTGACCGCCTCCCTATACACGTGATGATTGAAAAAAGGTGGTGTATTCCAAATGGGCGTCAACTACATATGTGATCACCAAGAAAAATGGAAAACTTAGAAACCCACTCTTAATCCTCACCCGATTATCGACGAACATCTATTCCCCAAACCTGAACACATTTTTTTCAGCCATTTGGACAACACAGGGGTCCATACGCACCTCCCAGTTTACGAAGAGTTTGCTGAAGCCCTGACACTCACTACCCCAACCCATGGATTGATTTAGCCCACGCGCAAAGTCTACGGTGCGGCAAACATTCCTGAAATATGGCAGTGACGTATGGAACCGTGCTTCAAGGACTCCCTAATGTAAGGAAATTTTTTCATGCAGAAAGTATCAAAAGACATGAAAATCGTCGATTTAGCCTTGAAACAAATGAAATCTTATGGTCTTCAATTTAATAAGGAGAAATGAGTTTCAATAGAGTTTCTTGGCGACAAAATCGATGAGGAAGGTCTTCACAAGTCACAAAAACATATTCAAGCTATTCGTGATGCACCAAAACCATCGTCACCAGAAGATTTGCAATTGTTCTTAGTCAAGAGGTTACTCACTACAACGTTTTGAATGGACACCGAAGGAGGAGAACGCATTTGAAGACATAAAAATAGTTTGATTTCGCCCCAGGTTCTTATATCCTACGCACCTGACAGGAAATATCTAGGGAAATACGAACTCATTGGTAAATGCTTGGTTTTTGAACATAATATTGTTCTGCCTAAACTTAGACAAGCCGTTCTTAACGATTTGATGAAAGGCGTGGCGCGCTCCATCGTGTAATGACCAGGTGCAGACATCAAACGTCTGCAAAATCTTGCGATAACTGCGCCAAGTATGCACATGCGCCGGGAACATCACTATGGGAATGTCCCCACGGACCTTGGGATGCCGATTACCCAGGTCCCGTTGCTGGAAAAATGTTAAATAGGTGCTACTACGGCGTCTGCGACAATCACAATTCTCAGTGAACTTTTTGCAACCTATGGAGTTCCCCAGATCGTCGTCTCAGATAATAGCACTCAGTTCGTTTCCATTGAGTTCAGAGAATTTTTAAAACACAGAGGTGTTAAGTACCATTTTACTGCTCCTTATTATCCTTCAACCAACGATCAAGCCGAAAGAAATGGCCAAATCGTCAAGGGTTACCTTAAAAAAATGGTCCATAAGACGTAACCTGAATGAATTTCTTTGTCAATACGGACAGCCCTGCACTCTACCACTGGATATCCTCCTGTACAACTCTTTCTGAGACGATCACCACGAGGTCGCCTTGACCTACTCAAGCCTGAAGATCTGTACACCAAAATCACATACAACGAGCAAATTTTGAATCGTAAATTCGGTTGTTTGTAACTATAGTTTTAGCCAGCACAAGTCGTTTATTTTCTCTAGGCTAACCTGCGAATACAAGTGGGTTCCTGGCACAATCATTTCGCGCCTGGGCGACCTCCACTACAAAATTGATTTCTTCGACAAGCGTTTCAAGAGACATGTCGATCAAATCTGGGCGTACCAAAATCCGAAATCTCAGCAACGCCCTGATGATGATAATAATACCATCGCTTGTATTACTATGGAACAAATTCTGCAACTCGAAATCGACCCAAAAATTGCGGACTACGTTGGGTTTCCGACGTTGCTAACATTAAAAAGAAATACCACAGCATTGGTCCAATATAGTGAACAATAAACACAACGCATGATAGCATATCAGTTACCCCTACAACATACATTTTACCGTACTTCTTTGAGCGATTGATCAGATCGCTGAGTACGGCAGCGTAATGCTGGTTGTATTCACTTGGCCTTTTGGTTCTTTATCTCTAATAGCGCAACATTTGTAATCCTCGTCAATACATAGCACAAAATTAGCATTAAATTATTTGCTGCAATTTATTCTGAAATTTTTCATGGCCATCGTTTAGGTTCGCCGTATCATTTAATTTTTTTAATATCTCGATCAATTGCACACATTTTTTTTATCGGCAGCAATAAATGGCACACAATACTCACAACATTATTGGTATAGCAAATGTGTTTTGTTGAATCGGCCTTAGTCTACTCAATGTGTCGAAGATGGTGGCACTACTGATGCAGATATTATTGGGAATGGGGCCGTGTAAATACGATTTTTATAATATGTCATCCCATCCGCATAGTTTCGCACTTTTTCATTACAAAAAATGTAAGACTGGATTGCCGCATCTAAGACTCCTCGGATCTTAATTCATTTACTATAAAAGATACCAAAACGAGCTTGTAGCAAAATTGTACACAATTAACGTCGTCATGTTTCTAAAATAGTTCTGAACACGAGTGGCGTGTTGTTTTCTAGTGGCGTCTCAAACTCATCTACCTACTTTTAACTGGAACACGTTTTTGAAATTTTTTTGAAAAACTAAATCGCGCCGGCGGCTATGTTATGACTTGAGGCGCAGACTAAAGAGCTCTTCCATGTTTTTTCTAACAAATCGCGCCGGCCGCGGCGGCGACCAAGTTTTGAATTGAAGCATAAGCTGTCACATAATTTTTTGAGGCACTTTATCGAACAAAGAACACTTTTGGTTAACAGTTAATCACGACAATTTCCACCATAAAAACCCGCATGCCAGCAGCAAAGATGGTCACTGAATGTTTGGGGTGGAAAACTGGGTCGTTACTTCTTAGAGGGGCCCTTCAACAGCAACCGTTATTAAAGGTCCCTTCGTGGTGACTTGGTGGAACTCTTGGAAAATGTCCCTGTAGTTGCTGGATGACAGATGGAGTTCCTGCACATTACACCCATTCCGTTCGGAAATAACTTGATGAAAGGTTTCCGTATTCATGGAGGTCGCCGGTTAAGATAACCAGACTTCACTCACCTTGATTTCTTCCTCTGGGGCTACATAAAGAATGAGGTATTCAGGGCGGTATTAACTACTGTCGTGCCGTGTTGTAGTTTCGGGTAGCCAGAGCTATACTTTACTTGAAATTTAAAAAAAAATGACATTTGGTGTTTTTTGGATAAAGTACCTAAAAAATTGTCTGACAGCGGAAGACAAAACCTTTGTGCCTCAATTCTAAATTTAGCCGCAATTTAGTTTAGGTACCTCATAAATATTCGAAAAACGGTTCAATTTTGTGGAAGAAGTTTAGAACAGCGAAATAGCCAAAGTTAAGGGTATAATATGTTACTTAAAAAAGTACTTAAAAATGGTGAAGTGTACATGATGTGACTCATTTTTGGTGTAATAAAATCCTGTTAACAGCAACAGGGAAAATTACAAACTACAAAATATGTGGAAATTAGTGAATCGCAACTCATATATCGCACATAGATTCAAAACCGAAGAGTGTTTGTTAGCAGGGCCTCCCCTGGAGAACTTCAATCCTACAGACATCTCTTCTTCGGCCCGAATACGAGCGTTTTTAATGTAGGTACATTATTGATTTCTACTCTAGGATCACAATTTAAAATTTAATGTGATCCATTCTCCTATGTGTTGTCTCCAATTAACCTATAGAAATCTTTAACTCAGTGGATTGTAGACATTTTTTAAGTTAGATCTACGCCACTATAGGTAGGTACATTCCTTGATATTTAGTAGTTCGATTACTGGTGGCGCATATTTAATCACGAATATAATCGCTGAAGTTGACATTGGAAACAATATAGGTACCATTTTCCTTTACAATACTGAACCAAAGATACTACTTCATATACATAGTAAAAAACATAATTTATTATGACCATTTCAGAAAATAACTTTTCATTGTGTCTAACGCCAGTTTCAAAATTTTATTTTGCGCATGCGCAGTGCCAACTTTTTTATTTTGAAATTTGATACATAGGCGCTTGGAACAAAGGAAAATATAACGTTAGTTTCCAAATTTAAGTTTGCGCATGCGCAGTTCCAACTTTCTTATTTAGAAAAGCATTGGAATGAAATTCTTCTTATAAACTGAATCTTTCATATTTGTGGCCGGATTTTTACGATAACAGAAGTTGCATCTTACAAATGGCAAATGAATGTAATAGGAAATGCGCTTTTTGTAAATAGTTTACGATTACTTTTTAACTTGTTTAAATATGACAGCAAAAAAAACCTGATCAAACCAGTAAACTTATTAAATTAATTAACACAACTATTTTCTTTCATTTGAGTTTTTCTCTTAAATGTGATTATGTAATAATATAGGTTTTTATGGTTTATGCTATATCCAAAAAATGGTACTGTTTAAGAACATGAAATAAAAATTAGTAGTTGATTTAAAAAAAATATGTCCCCTTTCTCATGCAGAAGTACGCCACCCCTGACCCCACCACTGACTGGATTCCTTAAAAAGTTTCTTTCTCGTTGTTTTAAAGTGTTCCAGGTTCCAGGCAAAATTTTCACCCTGTACTCTCACCCTGACTCTCACATATAACTTCATTACCTACTTTAATCTGAATCCAAAACAGAACCTGCAAACAAATTAATTTGAATGCTTCTTATTAAATTTTATATTGCACATGCCGATGAAACTTGTGAAAATGTGGTAGCGCCACTACTATATGTAAATCGCATCTTTTACGCTAATTAATGGGTGTATAATCAAAGTAATTAAGAGTTTTATGATGTGCTAATTACCTACTTTATTGAGGAAAATGGAAGTAAATTTAAGAATTTCGTCATAATACACATAGCAGCCGTTCGATGATCAAAATTGCCCATTAGGTAGTGCAATAAAATGTTAAACGCATTTCCAAAGGCCATAAATTTGCAAAAACAAACATAAAGCGGTCTTACCTGGCCGGGTCGCAAACGGTCGAATCGGTTGTACCGTATAAATATTTGAGGAATTTGTACCAAAATTTTGACGAGCGAACACGTCGGAATGATTTAATACGGAACCACCATTTGGGCTTAATCTACAACACCTGAACAACGACGTTACACAATCGGAACACGGTACCGCCACTGTTGGTAAAGGTTTCGGTAGGTGGTGTAAATTTGACGAAATACTTTTTGGTGCACTGTCTTGATCCGAGCCTAATAATCGATCGATACCAAACTTTAAGGGCGGCGGTTTATCGGTTTTCAAACTGATCGCCGTATCGTTCATTTGGACTTCCATGACTACGAATTATCACTAATGTAATACTGGGAGATGTAAATCGCACGCGGCAAAAGCACCGAAATTGTTGGATTAACGCGATGTTAATCGGTGGCAAATCGTTTACTAATGGAACTTTAAAAGCTCCAACCTCCGTTCGACAAGCAGGGAGGAGCAATCTTTCTTGTTGGTCTCATTGGCTTCTTCATGCCTTTTGAAACGAGGCGTTTAAATTACAATTGCCTAAGTATGATCGTTTTATCTGTCAGTGGCGTAAACACTTCATCATAATTAGATTTTATAAACTTGTATGATGTAGTAGGTACCCTCCCACCTTTTTATGATCACTTTGGTATGCGTGATGCCAAAGGAGAAAAGTAGGTGTTCTTCATGCAACAAGCAAATTTAATTACGGGAATTTCGGGAATAAATTCCCGTATGCAATAATTTTTGCGAAAAAGACGAGAAGCATGTGTGCTAATTTGCCTCAGCAGTTGTGGATAATTAATAAGACAATAGCCTAAGGGTTGGCGGTTGAAGTGCCATGGGTTAAATTCCAAAATTTTAGATACCTATACCTACATACATACCTACGTCCGATAGGGGTACCGGAATTGAAAGTGATTTGTTGTGTCTTACAAATCGTTTAGTTAGTACCTCGGTTAGTGCCATATTATGTGCCAGGAAAAGTCCAATGAGTTGTTTTTCCAATTATAAATTTTCTCGAATTACTGAAATGAATTGGAAAACTAGCAAAGAAACAGCAACTTGATGAGAAGCTAAAAGGAACTTATTACTTAGTTAGTGAGAAATTGAAGGATACACAAGAAAGAAGTCGACGGAAATTCAAAACGGGAAACGATAGATTTCAGAAAATCTATATGAAACTTTCAGAGGAATTTATTGAAAATTATGAGACCCTAGAAGCGTATAAGAGGAACTTGATGGGAAATATGGGAACCCCCGGAGAGTAGCTATGAGAAAACTGAGAGACACTTATTTTAAACATTCCTGTCACAGAAGATCTTTTAGTTTGAACCTATATCCTTTACTTACCGCGCGCTGAAGAACAGCCGCAAACTATTTGGAACTAGAAACCCCTCTTGCATTGGAAAACAAGTTAACCTTGGAAAATCAAATGACCTTGTTGTATTCTCGTGGTCGCCATTTTTGTCTTACTGAGTATTTTTCTATTTGATATAAAAGCAGAAACTTTATAATTATTATATTTTATAGCGGCCTTTTATTGTATTCAAAAATAAATAATATACAGGACGTCCTAAAAATAATTGGTGCAATTTCCGGTTAAATTGGAAGTAATAGGTAAACATTATTAGCACAACGTTAGTAATAAAAATTGAAATTATAGACAATAAATTCTTTCAATTCAATTATGTTGACTAAGGTCGAGTATAAAATAATACTGCATACAGTAATATATGGAACGCCGTTTTAACATTTAATGTGCAACAATAGTATAATTTTAAAGTAAAGTTTTGCCCGAATTTTTATTATCTTAATGATAAAATAAAAAAAAATTAATTTTATCTTAATGATAATTTTAAATCATTCTTTTTATCTTAATGATAATTTCACATAATTTTTTTTGTCTTGTTGATAATTTTAATTCCATTCCGAAATTTAAAATTACCTGAGATAATTGTAAATGGCTATTTCAGCCATTTAATATTATCTGAGATAAAATTAAATGGTGCCGTTCGCTGCTTTTCTCTCTTATTCCCTATAAAACAGCGTAGTTCCATCTCAATGACTTGCAAAGGTCGCCATTTAAAATTATCTAAGATAATCGTAAATGGCGAAGAATTAAATTTATCTTGTTGATAATTTAAATTTTGCTATTTAAAACTATCAACAAGATAAAAAAAATGATTTAAAATTATCATTATGACAATTTCACATTTGACAATGATAAAGTTTAAACAAACTATTTAAATTTATCTTGTAGATAAGTATAAATAGAAGAATTAAAATTATCTACAAGATAAAAAAATATTCATTTTTATTATCTTGATAAAATTTCAATCAATCAAGGTAAATTTGGTTCTTCCGCCATTTACGATTACCTTAGATAATTTTAAATGCCCACCTTTGAAGTCATAGCGAGATGGAAATATGCTATTTTATAGGGAAAACTTTACTTTAAGATTATAGTAGGTATTGTTGCACATTAAATGTTAAAACTGCGTTCCATAGTAATGTATGGTTATTATTCGGAGGTAAATAAACAAGAGCATGAATTTTAATCGGCTATATTTTTATTCTTACACGACAGTTTTGTTGCAACGGAAAAAACTCGAGATCAAAAGCGTAATAAAATCACGACTTTCGCTAGAGCGGTTTATCTTATGCTTTAATTGAGAGTTTTCTCCAGGAGACAAACTTGGGCGCGAATTAAAAACAAAAGTTACCTACCTATTCTGATTTAAAATCAAGGACAATTAAATTTCACGTACTTATGTTTATCGCTGATAATAAGCTAACTAGCGTTTAATCACTTAACAAATCATCTGATTGGTTAGAATTTGAGATGGTGTGCGGACAATTCGCGCCCTGATAATTCGCTCCTGGACAATTCGCCATCAGGACAATTCATCCCCCGATAATTCGCTCTCGGACAATTCGCGCCCGTGTAATTTGCTCCCAGAATTTTCGGTCCCAAGACAATTCACTCCCGGAAAATTCGCTTTCGGAGAATTCTTTAATAGAGCGTTAGTTGGTTTCATCGTTGATGAGATAACCTATCAGCCTCACTACCGGATACTCTCCAACAAAATATGAGTTGGTGACTCTTCTTCGAAGTTAATTCTCTAGAAAATCGGTTACTCGAACTGAAATTAACTGTTTCCGACTTCTCATGATTTTGTGAAAAACATCTATCTAATTTACCTAATTCATCAGTATAATTCATAAACGATTTGATCTCAACATGCATTCCTTCCGGGTGCTATATGCTCTGGGAGCGAATTTTCCGGGAGCGCATTTCTGGGAGCGAATTGTTCGTTGTTCGTGCTCATTTTTGAGAATAAAAAATGCGCTAAAAATGTAAACAATACCAGAGAACCTTCTTGTTTGTTTATTTAGCGCAATACATCGCATTGAATAAATCAAATTAATTGCGGCGAACAGTTCATAATAATAATAATAAAGCTTATTTAATGTTTTGTCGAACAGCCTATACATACATAAGTCAATACAAAAGCAAAATAAAAATATTACAAATGTAAGAACAAACAAAATTATAACAACAATACTTAATTGTCACGAAAAGAATTCTGCACTGAAAAATTCCTCATACGAGTAAAACGCTTTATCAATAAGAAATGCTTTAGTTCTTGATTTGAATAAATTAAAAGTGCGCTTATATACAGAATGTGACCAGTAAAGTGCAAATCATATGCGATTATTCGAAATTTTCATTTGGCTTCAATTTCCACTTTCGCATCGAGATGAAAAATTACAAAAAACTACGCCCTTGATTCACATTATTAAGCGGCACTCGGCAGAGGTACCTATAATCAGTAATCACCTATAAATATGATATATGGGATTTACCAAATTTCAAAATGTTTTGCAAGTCAAACTGTCCGCAATAATTTCCAATCACCAAGTATATGAAACGTATAGCAATACCGTAATGTGCTGTGTTTTTGCATTCGTTTTAATTCCTAAATCTGAAAATATGATAGATTTTACTTTAATGTAATTTAGTAAAGGATATGAATTCATTTAGAATTCAGAACATTTTCTTGCATATTATGCAAAGCCAACGCCCACCCCGTTACCATTCCAGCAGCATTAAATAAATCAATTTTTACATATGTGGTAGCCGTATTTGAATTTATATAGGATTTAAAAAGATCATTATTTTGCATTAACAATGATAGGTATATTATATGACCGCTACTAAATACCGTTGTTAAATAAGTTTTATTATTCCCAAAATAAAAACTTTGCAACCATTTTATAACAGTGCATAAATATTTTGACAAAAAAACGGGCATTTCCAAACAGATTTAATTTAACGTTGATCGATTAACGAGCGAGGAAAGGAAGCGTAATTTACACGGATTCCGAGTTTCATTCAACTCTTCCCGGGTATCTAACGCGGTTACAAAAAGCATGTCTGCAACATGAATTAGGTACTGATTGCTACGCCACTGTATACCTAGCATAGTATTTCAGGCTAAATTATAAACAACGTTTTACATAAAATAATCAACAGCTCGGCCTGTAACTATTTACACGCTGATGGTTTTGGTTTATGTCGTAGTCATTACGTGCAAATGAATGGTTTGAAATTACATTTATCTTCCATTAAAATTTTACAGGGATGAGCTTTTATGAGCAGTTAAGTATGAAGACATCGTTTTATGAGGGCTGCTTAAAATAAAACCAACGCAAACTTAGAAAAGTACTTTTGTTAAGTAGATAATTTTGTTTAGATTGAGGAACACATGTTTGGGCACTAGCTGTACTAATATACAGATGTCTCTCCCAAAAACAAAAACTTGTTTATAGAAATAGCGTAAATGTCAAAGCGTTAATTGGTTCATTTACATAAAATCTCCTGCAGACATATCTTGTAATAGCTGAAATGCGAGGAGAAATTTGACTAGCTAGAAGCAGTAATCAACCACAATTTTCCTATAAAAATGTAAGGTATCCACTACGGTTTTGTCGTTCTTGTGCAAATTATTTTTGACATTATTTTAATATCTTCAAGATTTACTTTCACAGCAGCCCCCCCCCCCCCAAGTATATATTTTCAGATGTCATTTTGGATATTTTTTGACGTATCATAAATACTTGGCGCCCTTATGGTTCACGAGTTATTAAAATTTTTAGAATGAAACGGCAACTTATATTTACATATACTTGACTTTGTAAAATTCGAAATATTTTAGATCTCATTTTTGTGCCCATTTTGTGGAATTTGTAGGACAAAAATTTTATGGGTTTATAGTTATTAGTTTTATAATCGAACTCCAGTTTCACGGGTAACAAGCGGCGTAAAGATGCACATCATTCTGGTGAAAATTAATTTTTTCCAATTCCTACTTCACACCAGTGCCGTTTTTAGGCATGTGTCACCTGGGCCCGGGCCCAGGGCTCCGAAGTCTTGAGGGGCCCCCAAAAGTTTGTGTGAATGAAAAAGTTTTAGTGCAAAAT